AAGACCAGAGAGCTGTCGAAGGACACCAGAAACAAAACTGTAGACCTGCACCAGGCTGGGAAGACTGAATCTGCAATAGGCAAGCAGCTTGGTGTGAACAAATCAACTGTGGGAGCAATAATTAGAAAATGGAAGACATACAAGACCACTGATAATCTCCCTCGATCTGGGGCTCCACGCAAGATCTCACCCCGTGGGGTCAAAATGATCACAAGAACGGTGAGCAAAAATCCCAGGATCACACGGGGGGACCTAGTGAATGACCTGCAGAGAGCTGGGACCAACTTAACAAAGGCTACCATCAGTAACCCACTACGCCGCCAAGGACTTAGAACCTGCAGTGCCAGACATGTCCCCCTGCTTAAGCCAGTACATGTCAGGGCCCGTCTGAAGTTTGCTAGAGAGCATTTGGATGATCCAGAAGAAGATTGGGAGAATTTCATATGGTCAGATGAAACCAAAATAGAACTGTTTGGTAGAAACACAACTCGTCGTGTTTGGAGGAGAGAGAATGCTGAGTTGCATCCAAAGAACACCATACCTACTGTGAGGCATGGGGGTGGCAACATCATGCTTTGGGGCTGTTTCTCTGCAAAAAAAAGGGACCAGGACGACTGATCCATGTACAGGACAGAATGAATGGGGCCATGTATCGTGAGATTTTGAGTGCAAACCTCCTTCCATCAGTAAGGGCATTGCAGATGGAATGTGGCTGGGTCTTCCAACATGACAATGATCCCAAACATACCTCCCGGGCAACGAAGGAGTGGCTTCGTAAGAAGCATTTCAAGGTCCTGGAGTGGCCTAGCCAGTCTCCAGATCTCAACCCCATAAAAAACCTTTGGAGGGAGTTGAAAGTCCGTGTTGACCAGCGACAGCCCCAAAACATCACAGCTCTAGAGGAGATCTGCATGGAGGAATGGGCCAACATACCAGCAACAGTGTGTGCCAACCTTGTGAAGACTTACAGGAAACGTTTGACCTCTGTCATTGCCAACAAAGGATATATAACAAAGTATTGAGATGAACTTTTGATATTGACCAAATACTTATTTTCCACCATAATTTGCAAATAAATTCTTTCCAAATCAGCCAATGTGATTGTCTGGATTTTTTTTCTCATTTTGTCTCTCATAGTTGAGGTCTACCTATGATGCCAATTACAGGCCTCTCTCATCTTTTTAAGTGGGAGAACTTGCACAATTGGTGGCTGGCTAAATACTTTTTTGCCCCACTGTATAGCAGAATACATTTTGGTGTAAATTTATGACGAAATTTGATTATTTAAATTTTTTTACTGGAAATGTTTAATTGCAAAAAGTCAAAAATATTTTTTTTTCTCTAAATTGTCAATTTTGTTTTTCTATTGCACAAAAAATAAAAACGCACAGGTGATCAAATACCACCAAAAGAAAGCTCAATTTGTGGGGGGGAAAAAGGACAGCGTTGCATGACCGCGCAATTGTCAGTTAAAGTAACGCAGTGCCATAATGCAAAAAATGGCCTGGTCAGGAATGGGGGTAAATCCTCAGGAGGGCAAGTGGTTAAAGAGGTTGTAAACCTCAGACATGAATTATGAACAAAGCATATCCATTTATAGTGTGTACTATAGTCTCTGTTGAAAGCACCAAGTGTCATTTCTGTCTGCTGCTTCGTTCCTCTACTATCAGTATGAATCACTTCTGACAAGTTTTCCTGACACCAAGAGTAAAATGATGACGGGTGGAACCTCCAGCAGATTGACAGCCTCAACTCTGTTCCTGTGAGCTGTGTGGATGAGGGTGTGTCTCTTCCACACAGCTGCCAGAGTTCTCCTCACTGAGCTTTGCTGAGTGTATTTTCAGCTCCACCCCCTGTTTTCTGCCCCTCACACAAGCTTTATAAATGCTACAGATGAACAGGTACAACTTATGTAGGTTGTTTTGTTTCGTTTTGTTTCATTTCTGAGTATCACTTGAGGCTGGTCACTTTAGTGGGTATATGTAAGGGTTTACAACCACTTTAAATCCTCCTATCTGTTACAGACAAGGAAGCTGCCATCTTCGCTTCTGTTTGATTTGATGTTTCCATGGTGTTGCACATGTGACCAGTTATGACACCAGCCATTTGATGACTTGGCAGTTTGGTTAAGAGCCTATATAAAATACCGGTAAAGTAGCCTATAGATAGATCAGATAGGGTTTGCACCGATACTGGTATATCAATATAGGTGCCAATACTAAGCATCTGCACGAGTATCAGTACTTAAGCAGATGCTCCGATATTAAAAACCGATACTTTCAGGTTAATTTTGTGCTAGGTGGGGGATTTGGGGGAGGGGGGATTGTGCTGGAAGGGGGGGGGGTGGATTTAGGGGGGTTGTGCTAGGTGGGGGTGGGGGATTTTGAGGGGTTTGTGCTGGGAGGGTGATTTGGGGGGGGTAGGTGGGGGGATTTAGGAGGGTTGTGCAAAGAGGGGGATTTGGGGGGGTTTGTGTTGGGAGGGTAATTTGGGGGGGTACGTGGGGGGATTTCAGGAGGGTTGTGCTAGGAGGGGGGATTTGGGTGGGTTTGTGCTGGGAGGGTGATTGGGGGCACAGTTTAGGGGGGTTTAAGCTAGGATGGGGGGGTGGGGGAATTTGTGCTAAGAGGGGGGATTTGTGGGTAAGGGGGGTTTAAAACCTACAGCCATCTAAACTCTGCCTCACAGAGTACATTTTAGGGCTTGTTCACAGCAAGTGCAGTTCGTAATGTGCGAATTCGTGTGTTTTCCTGTAGCACACAAAATTTTGCTGCCTTTTGCAGACACGCGTGGGTGCCAATAATTCTTTCACTTCTACCACCCCAATTTAACACTCCAACTCCCCTCCCCACTTCCCAAACCCGCTCTACCCACTCTTCCTAGGCAATAGGTATCGGTAATCAGTATCAGCGAGTACTTTAAAAAAAAGTATCAGTACTCGTACTCCGTGTTAAAAAAAAAATGGTATTGGTGCATTCCTAAAAAAACAAACTCGATTCCCTCAGCCACATATTCAATGTGGAAGTGGGAATCCTCTCTGCTTGAGCTATTGTATTTTGAGACTTCTCCGCTGTCAGCGGCATTACAGGCTATAGCCAGTGACCACAGATACTCAGGGTGCCGTGACGCGGCTCTGTGGCTTACGTATGTATTTGCAAATGTGTGCTAACTAAACCCCTGTTTTTAAACGCATGTTTCGAGACAGGTTAATTTGGTTTTTGATAGTTGGCTAACTGGCTGACAGTTTGAACTGGCTTTTCTTATCCCCCTTTGTTGATAAGATGTATATATCCTTGTTCCTTGCCAATAATAGCCACTATTAGATTGGGGTAGGCTGGCAAGTTGAACTGGATAGCTCTACTTTTTTGGAAATTTCTCACATAGTGACAGCCCCCCATGTTCACTGTTTAAAAAGCCAGTTATAGACCTGGGCAGGTGATCAGTTTTTTCTTTATAGCCAGTGACCCTTGTCGAGTGGAAATTTTCCAAGCAGAGTGGTTTTACAGAAGTACAATCTCCCTGCTCATGGATCCTAACTCAGCTGGTGCCTGCTGAACTGGCTGGATTTCGCTCAATGTATGGCCAGCTTAACTGTAATGATTGTCAAAGCATACCTGAATGGTAATTGTTTTAGGAAACCGTAAATTGGTGAGTTTTAACTACCGTATTTTTTGCTCAATAAAACGCACTTTTCCCCCCATTATCTCCTGTACAGTGTCCGCAGTCTCCGGTCATCTCCTGTACCGTGTCCGCAGTCTCCGGTCATCTCCCGTACCGTGTCCGCAGTCTCCGGTCATCTCCCGTACCGTGTCCGCAGTCTCCGGTCATCTCCCGTACCGTGTCCGCAGTCTCCGGTCATCTCCCGTACCGTGTCCGCAGTCTCCGGTCATCTCCCGTACCGTGTCCGCAGTCTCCGGTCATCTCCCGTACCGTGTCCGCAGTCTCCGGTCATCTCCCGTACCGCGTCTGCAGTCCATTGGTTCAGAATATTTTTTTTTCTTGTTTTCCTCCTCTAAAACCTAGGTCCGTCTTATGGAGCGAAAAAAAAACAGTACTTTAGTACTAGCCTGTAATACCTCTTCCTGTCCAGGCCATTTTTCAGTGTTGCGATAGTTTGACTGACAATTACGCAGTCATGCAACATTTACCAAATTTAATTTTCTATTTATTTTTTTTTAAAGAGATGATAAACCTGGGACACAAAAACTTTCATTCAAATGTATTCCTTAACCATTTCAGTACTAACCTGTATACAGCCCTTTGTGTCCATGCCACTGTTTCGTTTTCTAGGCTGAGAAGGCAAATGTTTGTCATTCATACAGCAATTTTTTTATGAATAGACACCCATGATTCATGCGAGAATACGCATTCCCCTTTAGATATCATTTGCAGAGTTTAGCTTTAAAGGAACAAAAAGGATGTCACAGTATGCAGTATCTATAGAATTGTGACTGCGGAATATTTACAGGCTGAACACATAATGATGTTTTATATTTCTCCAGTGCTGAGAATTCACACTGCTATTGATTTCTACAGGCCTTTGCAGAACGTACCTAACATACCCGGAGTGTCAGTTTTTGTTTGTGGCAATTTATGAATGAATTATGAATGAAACTAGGAGAATGCAGACATTTCTGTTCTATGATCTCCTTACATTGCTTTGTTGGCTTGTACAACATTATATACAACATCTTCTGAGTGGTGTGCTGTCGTTTAAAAAGGATTATTCTCTGCAGCAAAATATCGTTTTCGAGTCAATTTATAACATGTAGCTCATTGTTCTCTACACATACTTCATTTTTCAGTATAGTTTTCTTTATCTTTGACTTTCTGGAGCCCCACAGCTTTACATTATCTTACCTAATGAACTTCACAAACTTTTAACATTAAAGTGTTACTAAACTCACATCTGTATAATCAATCTGTATATGCAGTAAAAACATGATTGTTCCATTCACTGTGGAAACTAGGGGGTTAATTCTCTCATTGTGTAAAAAGGCTGTTTGATCCTGTCTTTTCCGATCTTCCTCCGCAGTCCCCAATCTGTTTGCTGATAGTACATAGCCCTAGGAGGCATTCCACACATGCTCAGTTTGGTATGTATTGCTAGAGAGTGTTTTTTGTGTTGTTTTTTTGGGAGGTTGCATGTGATCAGCACAGAGCCAATCAGCACTGTCAAGACAGAGGGTCAGGGGTCCTGCAGCCTGATAGGACACAGAGGAGAATGAAAACTGCTCTACAAGATTTAACCAGTGCTCAGCCAGATACTGATAGAAGTCACAAGCCTGCTATATACTGCTGATGAGAAAAGGTATTTAGCAGTTTATATTTACTAAAATAATTGCATTTCCTTGTTATGTGTACTGTGGGAGACCAGATATAGTGAATGCAGAGCCCTGGGTTTAGTAACACTTTAATAAAAACAACCACATCCCCTCTAGACTAATTTTTTTTCCATTTTTGCAAATGTTCAAATCTGCAGTTTTTGCTTATAAAATTGCTTAAACCCCCCCAGATCGTACATATATATTTTATTTTATTTTGTTTTGCAAAGGCCTTGTAGAACAAAATGGTGGCAGTTACATTTTTTTAACCACTTGCCCTCCAGAGGATTTACCCCCCTTCATGACCAGGCTGTTTTTTGCATTACCACGCTGTGTTACTTTAAATGACAATTGTGTGGTCATGCAACGCTGCACCCAAATGAAATTTATGTCCTTTTTTTCCCCACAAAAAGAGCTTTCTTTCGGTGGTATTTGATCGCCTGTGCGTTTTTTTTATTATTTGCGCTTTAAAAAAAAAAATGACTGACATTTTTGAGAAAAAAACAATATTTTTGACTTTTTGCTATTAAACATATCCAGTAAAAAATTGCAAATTTCGTTATAAATTTAGGCCAAAATGTATTCTTCTACTGTCTTTGCTAAAAAAAAAATCCCAATACGTGTAAATTAATTGGTTTACGTGAAAGTTATAGTGTTTACAAATGGCAGTATATATACTGGGATTTTTTTTTTTTTCAATTTTTACTAGTAATGGCAGCAATCAGCAACTTATAGTGGGACTGCGGTGGTCATTCTGACACTGTGGGGAACTGACTTGTGTCACTGACATCCCCAGTGACACGAATACAGTGATCAGTGCTAATAAAAAGCACTGGCATTGTACTAATGATGCTAGGCAGGAAGGGGTTAACATGAGGGGCGATCAAAGGGTTAACTGTGTGCTGTTTTACGTTGTGCTGTGTGTGTGCTTCACTGTAAGCACACTGCTTTGCATAGCAGTGTGCAGGAGCTGTTTTTTTTTTTTTTACTTACAGTTCTCCCACCATCGGTAATGCTCCTCGAGCAGCAGGCACCGGCGAGTAATCACCGTCCGGGATCCGGTGATTGACAGCCGAGGCCGCGAATAGCTCACACGCGCCCTCTACCAGGGAGTGCAATATCGTGTGTGTGTGTGTATATATATGTGTGTGTATATATGTATATGTATGTATGTATGTATGTATGTGTATATATATATATATATGATTTTGCGCACCCCTGCTGCCCTGTAGCAGTATATCTGCTATAGGGCGGCGGTAAAGCTGTTAATGTCACATGATATTTGCAAGAAAACAAAAACACTAAAATAAATTTTATTGCAGAGAAATACAATTTAATCCACAATTGTTTGTACAAAATAGAAAAATAAGGTAGTCTTGAGTAAGTGGATATTAAGCATGTCAAGGCTCACCTTGCACCCACAAAATGGAAAACAATTAGGTTACCAAATTTTCTCAATAGATGGCCCTTTTAAATGTTTTTACAGCTCATCAGGTTAGAGCAAGGGTCTCGAAACTTTATAAACAATGGACTAGATTACTGTCCCTCAGATTTTAGTCGTCATGCATACTGGACGTTTTTACAGCTGCTGTTTTTGGCTTCTGCTGCTTGTTTTCTACAGCTAGTAAACTCCCCTGCATGCTATCCTATATGTCCATGCACACATAGGCTTGAAGGCTTTAATCAGTGGTTTTTGACAGGGGCATTTTTTAGCTGGAAAAAAAACCCATAACTAGTAGGTTTCAAGAGAAAACTTTGTGTTGGTCTATCACATAAAATCCCAATAAAATACATTTACGTTTTTGGTTGTAACATGACAAAATGTGGAACATTTCAAGGGGTATGAATACTTTTTCAAGGCACTGTAAATTAAAGTGTTTCTAACCCCACAACAGTAAAATCAGCCTGTATATGCAGTAAAGCATGCTTGGTATACACACTGTAGAACCTAAGGGGTTAATGCTATGCATTGTGTAAAAAGGATGTTTGATCCTATCTTCTCTGCCCCTCCTCTTGTTGAAATGACCAACTGAACCCTTGGTCAAATGCTCAGTCTGGTGTGTATTGCTAGAGAGGTTTTTTTTTTCTTTGGGAGAGTGCATGTGATCAGCACAGGGCCAATCAGCACTGTCCAGACAGAGGGTCAGGGGTTTCACATCCTCCTAGAGCAGAAAGAAAACTCCTCCTACAAGCCTTTACCAGTACTCTGCTGAGGTCACAAGACTGCTCTAACTGCTGATGAGAAAAGGTATTTAGCCATTTATATTTACTAAAATAATTGCATTTCCATGTTGTGTGTACTGTGGGAGGCCAGATATAGTGAATGCAGGATCCTGGGTTTAGTAACACTTTAAAACCGAGAGCTGGCTGAAGAAAACACCTACAAGCTCAAGACTGCTTTCCACTGTGAGCTTGTTTTAAAAGCTTAAGGGCTCATGTACACGGGATGTTTGGAAAACTCTTCTGAACGATGGAAACTGACTGCTGTAAAATGTAGGTTAAAAAAAACGGCAGTTTTGCTGCCCTTGCTTTGCACGTTTGCGTTTAGAAGCGTTTTTAAAAGATAACCTTAGGAAACCCTCCAAAATGCCCAGAAATGCACTGAAAATCGTAAATTCACTAAAAGGCTATTATAATACTGCATGAGTTATTTTATCAAGTCATGCGGTATTTTAGTAGTGAAAAGCATGCATCATGTTTCAGCTGTCAATGGGATTCCCACTGACAGCTGAATGTAAAAGAAAGAATTGCCAGCAATTAAAAAGTAATTTAAAAAAAACTGGTGTGGGGCCCCCCTCCTATCCATACCAAGTCCTTTGGTTCTGGTATGGATTTTGAGGGGAAGCCCTACGCCAAAATAAAAAAAAAATGGCGTGAGGTTCCCCCCCAAATTCCATACCAGACTCTTATCCGAGCATGTAGCCCGGCAGGTCAGGAAGGGGGGGGGGGGCGAGCAAGGGCCTCTTCCCCACAACCCTGGGCTGTGGGTGTGGGGGTCTGCGGGTGGGGGGCTTATCGGAATCTGGAAGCCTCCTTTAGCAAGGGGACCCCCAGATCCCGCCCCCTCCCCCATGTGAATGAGTATGGGGTACATGGTACCGCTATCCATTCACAAAAAAAAGCTGTGTTAAAGACAGGAGTCATTCTTTGATAAGTCCTTTAATAAATGAATGTCCCCTGAAGTAGATCCAATGTCAATCACGATGTCCACCGCTGCTGCTCGGAACAAAAAATGGAAAAGAAAAAAAAGGCTCCTCTACCGACCCTGGCCTTCGGCCGTCTGCTCAGAAGCTGGTTTGACAGTTCTTAAATATGTAAGGGGTGGGGCCACCTGTGTGACCCCGCCCCATGCGACATGCTGGTCACTGACGTCACATGGGGGCATGGTCACATATGTGATGGTCCCACCCCTTACATATTTAAGAACTGTCAAACCAGCTTCTAAACAGATGGCCGGGGGCAAGGGTTAATAGCGGAGCCTTATTTTTTTTTTTTTCGGAGCAGTGGCGGCGGACATCATGGTTGACATTGGATCTACATCAGCGGACATTCTTTTATTAAAGGACTTGTCAAAGAATGACTCCTGTCTTCTTTTTTCACACTACAGCTTTTTTTTTGTGAATGGGTAGCAGTACCATGTACCTCATACCCATTCACGTGGGGGGGCGGGATCTGGGGGCTTCCATATTCCGACAAGCCCCCCCGCCTGCAGATCCCCTCCCCCCTTTCCTGACCTGACAGACTGCATGCTCGGATAAGGGTTTAGTATGGATTTTGGGGGGGGGGGAACCTCACGCTGTGTTTTTTTTTTTTTTTTTTTTTTTTTTTAATTTTGGTGTGGGGCTTCCCCTCAAAATCCATACCAGACCCAAAGGGCTTGGAATGGATGGGAGGGGTTTACCCCACACCAATTTTTTAAAAATAATTTTTCAATTGTCGGCAATTCATTCTTTTACAGTCATGATGCATGCTTTTCACTACTAAAATTCCGCATTTTTTTAAAGTACCATGCGGTATCCTACCACATACTCGGGTGAGGTAGGATACCGCTTAGAGAATTGTGCCCTGGATATGGACCAGTCAAAAAATGCTTCTAAACGCAAACACTTATAAATGCGGTTAACCGTGTTTACAAGCGTTTACATGTGTTTACAAGTGTTTGACGTTTGAAACGCCGGTAAAATCTACTCCTGTGTGTAGTCTGCATGCACTCTGATAGTTTGTGCTCTGATTTTGTGTAGTCTGCATGCACTCTGATCTACTCCTGAACGCAATTTTGCTACGTTCAAAAAAACGACTGTAAACTCGACTGCCTATAAACGACTGTAAATGTGTACATAGGAAAACATTAGGGAGAGTTCAGGGGCTGCTGAAAAAAAAAATGCAGAAAAGCTCCTGAACGTCAATTTATCAGCTGCAGTGTACATGAGCCCTTAGGTCTAATGCACACTAGATGTTATGAAAACGCCAGTAGTATTAGTTGTAGAATGGTGCATTAAAAACTTTAGTTTTGTTGCATTTTTAAACATTTTTGCATCAGCTTTTTTCAGCATTGTTATTGTTTTTGAGCATTTTGTGTTTTTTAGTAAAATTATATTCTCACAAAATCTTCAGGCTGAAAAACGCTCATAAACGCCAGATAGCCATGTTTTTTAGCGTTTTTTTTTCAGTTTTTATCAGCGTTAGAGCATATTTACAGCTAAAAAAAAAACTCCTCTTGAAACCCACTAGTTTTTTTTTTTTTTTTTTCCAGCCAGAAAATGCTTCTGCCAAAAAACACTGATTAAAGCCTATGTGTGCATGGACACATAGGATAACATGCTGGGGAGTTTACTGGCTGTAGAAAAAAAAATGCCAGAAGCCAAAAACAGCAGCTGTTAAAACGTCCAGTGTGCATGACGACTTAGACGCTACGTACATCCAGAGAGCTGAAGTAGTTCGAATAATGAACACAATAATTTCACAGGGTTTTCTGAACAGCAACATGCAAGCTCCAGTAATTTTATGGTGCTTACTTATGGCTCAGCAAAGATAATTATACGAGAATGGCAGCTGCAGCGTTCTATTGTCGCTCTTATTTCTGAACCTCAGTCATGACTTCATGTACCTGCCTATGACAGGTGTCCTCCTTCTGTAACCTTGTGCATGTTATTGCACTGGATAACCTGCTCTGACAGCTTCCATAATTACCGGGACTAAATGCCGCCATGTTATTACAGGCTTTTCTTATGGTCCATGTATGGCTGCAGAGATGTCGGCAGGTTCCCTTAATAGAGACTTACTCAGGGCATACTATTTTATTGTAAAAGACAAAGATAGCAGACCTGTGATAATAACTGCAATTACTTGACCACAGAAATAGCTTACGAATGGTACCAAACTGGAAGTGGTATTTGCTGTGGTCTAGTCTTTGTACACATTTGTACAGACATTCCCCATCTTTGTGATGCTGCTGAGTACATTGCTTTGCCATGAAACAAGCCTCTATCCCAACACCTAATTTACAAACCTACACAGTGAACGCTTCCACAGGCTTATATAAATGCATAATGGATTCTGCAGGTTCTCCTAGTGCTTAATGGGTTTCCTCTGGGTACTCTTGCTTGCTCCCACACTCCAAATCGATGCTCCTGTCTAAATTGGCCCCAGAATGTGTGCATGTGAGGTAGAGACTAAGATTTTAAGGTCCTTGAGGGCAGGCACAGATGTGAACGTGCAGTGTGTAAAATGCCGGTGCTATATAAATACCTGCAATATTAATCAAAAACATCAGTAATATTTTAAGGGCAGAAATAGTAGTTTTGCCATGATGCCGATACATTTGCCATACATTAAAAAGTGTTTGTGTACACTATACATACCCTGTGTTGTTTTATGCTATTATTTTTGGAATATTTGTTCTGTTGCTGAACACGTGAATGTATGATCTGATTATGCGTGCTTTGACTGTGCGTAATCTGCATGCACTCTGATAGTGTATGTGCTCTGATTGTGTGTAATCTGCATGCGCTCTGATTGTGTGTAATCTGCAAGCACTCTAATAGTGTGTGTTCTAACTGTGTGTAATTTGCATGCACTGTGTGTAGTCTGCATGCACTCTGATAGTTTGCGCTCTGATTGTGTGTACAGCAGTCTGCATGCACTCTGATAGTGTGTGCTCTGATTGTGTGTGATCTGCATACAGTGTGTGTTCTGATTGTGTGTAATCTGCATGCACTCTATTAACTACTTCCCATCCGGCCAATTTGTATATAAACGGCCGGACGGTGGCAGTGCAGGGGCGGGTGTCCATTTATAAATGGCCTCCCCGCCCCCTGCTTGTGCGCGCTCCCTGGGAGCTTACAGCACCGCGATCCGGTGCCCGCTGTGTCCTCCGGACACAGTGGAACATCGATCGTCGTACAGGACCTCTGTGCGAGGTCCTGATCATGTAATCACTGATTGGCCAATCAGTGATCACATGCAGAGTAGTAAGTAAGATGTACCTTCTGACATCATTGCTTACTATGTGTGAAATCTTTGATCACAGAGGTCACATGGTACAAGGATATTCACAACTGCCTTGTACCATGTGACAAGCTGTGACCAATCACAGCTCACACAGTATTTCTCAATGGCTGCAAGAATGCAGCCAGAGAGGAGAAATGATTGCTTTTACAGCTTTATGGGTGTGTAAAAGTAATCAGTGTAAAGAAAAAAAAAAAAATCGTCACCCCCCACAAGTAGTACAGTGTCACCATAGTGACACTGTACTGCTAGGGTGACAGTATGTAAAAAAAACAAAACAAAAACATAAATAATATAAAAAAAAATGTAAACTTTTTTTTTTTTTTTAAACTTATAATTTTTGGTTATAAACTAATTTGTTTTTTTTTTTTTACTAAAAAGATAACTGAATAAATTTTGGCCAAGATTTATGATGAAATATTTATTTGCAAATTTTATAAGAAAAACACTTTTTTTCAAAATATTGGGACTTTTTTTTTATTTATATAGCAAAAAAATAAATATCCCAGTGGTGAACAAATACCACAAAAATAAAGCTTTATCTGTCTCAAATATTCATATGGGTACAGTGTTGCATTACTGCACAATTGTCATTCAAAGTGTGATAGCGCTGAAAATTTGCCTGTACAGGAAGGGGGTAAAAGTGTCCGGACTTGAAGTGGTTAATATGTGCTCTATGTGTAGTCTGTATGATCTCTGGTTGTGTGGGGGTCTGCATTGCTGTGTCTGCATATTTTCTGTGTGTGTGTGTGTGTGTGTGTGTGTG